ATGGGATTGTTTAAGTAGTACTGGAAGGTTCTCTGGGAAAAACCATCTTCCCCATATATGAAAATAGTATTAATAGATATCATTTCATTATTAGAATTAAACAAATAAATATTGAACACCTAATATATGCAAGACACTCAGGAATCCCTACAGAAAAGGACTTTAACCTTTTTAACAGCTTACAACGTAACAAAGACTTGCTGATACACAACTGTGACTAGAACCCTTCAAAGGAGATAAACACACAGGCAGTGGTAGAAAGGTAAAGGGCACTGTAAGAGAAACTGGAAGTACGTCCGCCTCTACCTATCTTGTGATTCTGCCAGGGTTGTCTACAGAGACACTACCACTCTCCACAAAGATTCAACAGGATAAAACAGAAAGCCTTATTTCAATGGCACGGAACATTTGGGATTATGACTTCTTCCAAGGACTGGGAATTTTGCACTTGGGATCCATATGGTGACTTCGGACTCTAACCCTTAGGTGCACAATGGTTTCAGACACTTTCTAGATGCTCAAGGTGCTCTCTTGCAAAGGAGACCAAAGCAGCAGCTCTGGACACTTATAGTCATTAAAGACCTCATCCGTGGCTTTTCTCCACTGTTTGGGATATTAACCGCAGCACCTTGGCTACATTCCAGTCTGGGTAATTATATTGGGGCTAGCAAACTTCACCCTCCAGGGCCAACTAAATAAAGTATTCCTTCAGACTTGCTGCTACAACCTTTGTTATGCTGCTGTGGGCTATTAAAAAGCCATTCTATACTTGGGATGGCTGTATTTGTGAAAAATCAATAGCCCTGGTATAACTTTCTATACTGACAAGAAGTATATTCCAAAATATCACTGGCTAAGTTAGCTATTTTGGCTTTTTAAAAAATACAGTGCCAGAAACAATTACAGAACTACAGTAATTTCTTCTCCATTCTCTAACATCTTACTATTTACACAGATAAAGACTGAAATATTGGCAACGTTACACCAAAAAAGAAGGAAGGTACATTAATTCCACAAAATACATATTTGGTGTATACCATATGCCAGGCTCTGTTGTAGGTGCTGGGCACTGTTCTCAGTGCCATGGTTCACATTTTCAGCATAAATGTGAAAATTTTCCAAAGGGAATAATTCAACTTAATTCTCCTATGCTACTGCATTTCTAAAAATCTCAATATATCATCTTTACTTTAAAAACTACCAAACACAAGTTTCCCAATCCAATATTATTTTTGTACCCCCTCAAAATAAAAGTATACAGTACCTTGAACTCTATGTGTATGGAAGTAAATGTGTATCTAAGAATGAGAAAATACGCTTTCCTGGCTAGACTGGAGGGTAACAAATGGTAGGCTGCTTATATATTTATTTGTTTGCCTGCTTTTAGCAATCATCTTATTTGGGTAGGTAAGAGTTTATAGATTATAATAGCAGAAACTGACATAAGGAAATGGAAAACATAAATATTTCTTGTTTAAAGCTTCTCTTTACTGTATGGAAAAAACACAAAAGAAGTTCTTTAGCATTCTATCATAAGAATAAAAAATGACAAAAAGGAAAAATTACAAGTATTGTGTACGTGTTTACACATACCCATACAAATTATCTTGTATGTGAAAACAGGAGAGAGAAGTTAATTAAATCTTAAGATTCTGGTGGATTAAATTAAATGTATGAATTACAGAATATTTAACATCACACTGTGCAGATACGGAAATGATTCAAAAAATTAAAATTAAAAAAAAACAAAACCTTGAAATTCGATTAATACTAGAGTATCCAAAACAAGTACTTCTTCTGGACAAACTATATTCAGACAGTGGGAAATAGTTTTTTTTAAAAAAAATCAGTGATGTTCACTTGAAATCTGCCAAATTATTATTCTGTTTGAAAATCCTTCTAGCTAGAACAAGTTAATAGCAGGCCTCTAAAGCTAGGTTAAACATGCTGTAAATCAATTTATTCCCCCCTACAAATCTGCTAAAGTACATCTTTTCTGGTGAAAACGGCTCTTCAATGGTACTTAATACTGTCACTACACTGTTTCTCCAATCAGCTCACTTCAGGTTTTTCTACTTAAGGTATGTATTAAAATTAAATGCTTACTTTTGTTATAAATAATAAACAATGGAATGCAGATTCTTTAAAATACCATAAGGAACCTCAAAATGTATTACATATACATTTCCTAAGTTTAGAAGAAATGCTTAATAATGCATATATGATCCCAGTTTGCCATCCAATAATCCATTTGTTATCATTTTATAGTTAAGAAACAATCCACACTATCCCCTCTCTCAGAGATAGATGACTCATCCTCCACTAACAGGCATTAGGTAACACCTTTGGCAAGGTGGCTTTGATAAAAGACTGAAACGAATTTTATTCAGGAACACAGCCTATCCCAGGGAATTTAAAGAGCCTGGATCACTACACCAACAGTATGTCTACTGCACTGCAGGAGAGGAAACTGTAATGAGTGATTAATTAGCTATAATGTTTACACTCTTATGGGTATACAAACTGATCCACATAATCTTTAATCTCGCCCCTGTTAAAAATTCACACATAAAAAAAGAGATGAGTGAACAACTACCAAAGCAAGAGACTCGGCTTCCCAGTTTGAGGAAAGAGGTGGAGCATAGGACTTTCAGAGACTGAAGGCAGAATATACCACATACAATGCATTTAAGACCACAATGTAGCCTAGTGTGTCAACGCTCAATTTTACTCTCAAATATTACTGTATTTTCTAAGTATGCTTACTAGGATAAAAATTCTGGTTATAAATTTTATGTAAATAAAGAACCAAGAAAGAAAAATGGGGGTGGGGATGTTCAAGTATGACTCAAGGGAAGATATCCTGAGACTGGCTCTATCACCAGGGTCTAGTCACATTATCTCACTCTGTATCAGTGCCCCTTAAAGTTAAAGGGTTAGGCCAGAACATCAATCCCTGCTTCCCTCCTAGCTGTTAAAATTTTGCCATCTATTTAGGTATCATAGAGCACTCAAGGTTTTGTAATATCCTAAGAGCACCTGATGGCAGCAGAAAATCTGCTTACAATGTTTAATGACTATAAAGGGAAGAATGTGAACAATCCTCCCAATCTTGCATTTTTCAGTTTATACTAGCCTTAAGAGGGCAATTAAAGTTAGATGCTTCATTCCATCTCACAATAACAACATAATTCTTATTATAATAAAAAATTTTAATATTCTTCTTAAAACATTCAAAAAGAGAAACAGCTTCACCTCGCTCAAATAAAACTTAGTGGATCTATCTCATTTGGAGGGTTGCAATGCCTGAGCTACAGTGTGAGTATCAGGATGTGGAAGCAGCTGTCACTGCTTTGTTTTTCATTCACAGTAGGTGGTTGCCAGGCAACAAAATACTATTGTCTGTTTCCATGATCTATTGGCCAATTCTACTGGTGATAATGCTTTCTACAGTTTAAAACAGGGCCACCTTTTGGACAAAAAGAAATGAGAAAAAATTCTAAGGATGACAATAACATATATATGAATAAATGTACTGAACGTACCCTAAAATTATGTGTAGAAATATATAGAATATATACAAATATATAACTGTGTGCTGATATACATATGTATATTTTGCAAATATGCATATGGTACCTAAAAACCCGACTAAATTTGATAGGCCCACCGCTGAAATCTAAATCCCTGAGGGAAAATCTAGGCATGAACTACAGAAATGAAAACATAGCAAAAATTTTTTTCTTAACAATAGCAATAATTTCCAATTTGTCAGATGTATCAAATCCTGTTCCTTTGAATATGAAGTCCTCCAGTCAGAAAAGCAATTCTGTCTACTTATATAAAAATAATAAATGAAAAGCCTTTACCACCTACTTTGGAATCATCTAACATTTAATATGTTGTTTTACTTAATATCATATGCTACCAATGTGTACAAAGATAATTCAAATAGTGTTGCTGTTTACGCCCAAGAATCTTAAAATATATTCATCTTAAAAATAACTGAATTGTTCTCCCCGGAATAGCCTCTTGTGATTCTCCACTTTGTTTTGATATGAGTCCCTGGAGAATAACAGTCAAGGTATGTTACTCTTGCATATTTCACTAGCTTACAAATAAAATAACACACACCGTACTCATTATAAAGTTGTCAACATTAACTTGCATCAGTTGCTCTTTGTTTTGTATTGACAAGCTTCTAAAGATAAGAATATTCTTAGATATACAGACACAACATCAAAACAGCCTGGAGGAGTTAAAGCTTGAAAATGCTAGAGGCAATCACGTTTTGAAATGAAGAGAAATCAGTATCATTTACAGGTACATGTATATTTCTCCAAAGGCCCTAAGTAACACCAGAACAATCTTTGCATTTTATGGCAGTGCTCATCCGTCTTCCTTCACAATTATTTCAAAGGCACATTAAATTAACTATTTAATGCATTTCTCTCAAGGGGCCTTTCACTTTTTGAAATTCATTACCACTTGCAAATCTGTACATGACAAGAAACTGAGACAAATATCCATTACATTGATAGACATTATTAATATATAACCTCTATCAAAGGGGCAACTCTGGCAAAACGAAAGCAAAGTGTGTTAATAATTAACTAAGTACCAGTCAAAATTACCACTTCCCAGAGAAACGGACCCACCTCACAAGAGCGCCCACCTGGGTTTCTCCTTCACATCTCACCCCACAAATGACCCACTTGCTTCTCCCTCTCCTTCCTAAGCTCGCTCACCTGTGTCTCTCCTCCAAGAATCAATTTCCTTCCCACTCTCTCCACCCTCTCCAGATCCCTTAAGCACCCTTCATTACTTTCTCCAAACTACCAGACTCAAATCTGCACCCCAGTTTGCCAGGAACCTCTCCATAAACACTTACTTCCCTCATTCTCCCAGATCCGCTTTTAAAAATCGCTGCCACCGAACAAATACAATCTTAATAAAATTAGAGTTACTGGCCAGTTTTGGGGTTTTTTTTAATGTTACAGCACTGAAAGATTGAGCGAGAGAAAAGCAGGAGTGTATTTGAGGGAAGGAGGGTGGCTAAGCGGGTATACACAGTGGGACGCGGGGATCTTACAGAGCTGGGCTTCCCCACCTGTCGACCCCACTTCCCCCATGTGCTCGCCGCGGGATGACAACCACAACACTCCAGAACCACCCCCCTCCAAAAGGGGGCGGGGTTACGCCTTCAGCCAATCAGGACCCGCGAGCCCCGGGAGTCCAACCTATGGGGTGGCCGTGGCCGTGCAGGGGGAGGACGCGGGGTGGTCCGGGAGGTGCCGAGTCCGTGGGAGGCGCGCACGTGTCGAGTCCAGAGAGGCCGGGAGGCGGCGGACGTCCAGCTGCGGAGGCGCGGACTCTGCACCCTGGCAGCCGCAGAGTCCAGCTACCCACTGCCTCCTTTGCCTCAGGCTGGGCCGGGCAGGGAGCGCTCCCGCCTTGGAAGACCTGTCCAAGGTGTCCGAGTTCCCCGTGAGAGGGGACACTTACAAACAACAACAATAGTATCTAGCGCAGACAAGGCAGAGAGGAAAGTTTCCGGCCCGCACCAGAGCGGAGTCCGCCGAGGCAGGGAGAAGGGATGCAGGGCGGGAGGGTGACAACCTGGAAAGAAGAGGGCAGGGGGAGGACGGGCCGGACGGGATCCTGGGCGAGATCGGGGGCGACGGGTGGCGGGGTGCGCTGTCCAAGGTGCAGGGAAGGTGGTTGGCGCGCGGCAGGCTCGGAGCCTGGAGCCGACACAGGCTGGCGGGCGGCGGGGAGAGCGGGGAACAGCTGTCTGGGGCACCGGGCACCCCCGGGCTCCTAAAAGTGACCGGGCTTGAGCTGGGGTGCGGCGGGGAAAGGCGCGGGGGTCTGCACCGACGCCCCCACGCTTCCACGTACCTCTCCCTACCAGCCTCACCTCCAGCTCCACTCCCCTCCCCCCTCGCCCACTCCCCTCCAAGCCTAGGTCCAGGCGCCGCGGCGGGGGCGGGACCAGAGAACCCCGGCCCGGAGCCCGGACGCCCCAGGTATGCTGCAGGCTCGGGAGCTGGTTACCTGGGGCCGCGGTATGAGGAGCGGAGACAGTCCGCCGCGCGGAGCCGGGCGCCGGGCGCGGCGCGGCTCCTCCTAGCCTCGGCGTCCTCCCCTTTCTCGGCTTCTCCGGGACTCTGTCCCGGGCAAGGAGCTGCGAGACGGGGCCGGGCTGCAGCCGCCGTTCCCTCCACCGCCGCCGTCGCCGCCGCCGCAGACAGAGGACGCCCCGTGGCGGCTGGAAGCCTGTGTGAGTAGCGGCGCCCGAGAGAGCAGGGATCTGCTGAGGGGCGCTGGAGACTCCGCGGCTCGGGGCGCGCGGGCGTGCGCACGCGCGCCTGCGAGTGTGAGTGCGTGTGCGCGCGCGCGCCCACGGGGTGCGGGAGTCGCGAGGGGAGGGGGAGAAAGGCTGAGAGATGCTCGTAGGGACCGAGGCAAAATTCTTCGCCCCCGGAAATCCGTAAACCCGGAGAAGGAGGATCGAACGCGTCTCGCCTGGAAGAACTGCCGGCGCGAGGCGGCCGCAGAGGAGGAGGGGAAGGCGGCGAGGCGCGCTCGGGCTCCAGATCCGAGCCCGGCTGAGCTGAGTGGAACGCGCAGCCACGGATGCAGCGGAGGCGGCGCCCGCAGCCCATGGTCGCGCTGCCCCCTCTTGGGAGGGGCCGAGGCCGCTCGCTCCCCAACCGCCACGGCTGTCCAGGCTTCTGGGCTGGGCGCGGGGAAACAGAGATAGGGAGGGACCCCACGGTTGCCACGGCGACCTTGGAGGCGCCAGGCCCGCTGAGGGGCCACGCGGGGAACCCGGGTGCACGTGGCTGACTCGGGCTGGAGCGGGCGTGTGCCAGGGCTGCGGCGTGGGGTACAGTGGAGTAGGGCCGAGCTCAGCCAACCGCCTGACCTGGACAGAGGATGCGGGGTGTGGGACCGACAGTGCGCTCGGCCGGCGGTGCGGGTCAGCATGCGCGGTTGGTGGGGACTGCGGGGAGTCCTCCCTCCAGGTGGAATGCTGCCCCTTTTTTTTCCTCCTTGGAGGCCACTTTTCGTCAAAGTTATCCACTTCCCAGATAAAAGTGCCGCCCTCCTCTTTGTTAGGATTCAACTTAACTGTGCAGGCATCCAAACATTGCCTCTGTCAAGTCAGGCTCGTCCAAGCCACATTGTAATACCATAAAAATAAATATGTGAAGCACAATTACATGTCCTGCCTCTTAAAAGATACATCGTCTTAGCGGTATACTTTTCCAGGCTTATTTTTAAATTCTGAGTGGAATTTTATTCACCCAAGCATTTCTTCAAGGGTCATAAGGTCTGGGTAATACTTGAAATAGGCTTCCTGGCAGCAATCCTCAGGGCAGTGATTGTTTTGTGTATACTTTTGCATGCCCTCCAGTACTTAGCACAGTACCATGTACATTGTGTGTTCTCTATAAATGAATGAATGGTATTGTTTTCTAGCTTCACATAACCCCAAGGCAAAGACTTGGATGCTGGGAAAGTCATTACCACCCCACTAGGCTTGCTTGATTTTAACTTATGCGATTTCCCTGTGTGTGGCTATTTTCCCCTCTGGCGGCCAGAGCCCCAGTGCTGAAAAAAGAAAACAGAATATTGACCCATTGTGCAACATTAACAAAGGGTGCTCTCTAAGAGCACTCTGTAGGGAACCCAGTGGGGTCCTCTGGATGTGAGAAGGCTAAAGCCAGCTTTATTGCGGTCCTGGGGAAACCTAACCTTTCAAAACAAAGTCTCCATGAATACTATCCCTTTTAGAGCAGAAGGTTGGGGAACATAGTTTTAAGAAAAATACACGTTTTTAGTAGTTTGTCAGGTAAGAGCGTTTCTCTTGTAAAGAGCAGTACTTCATGGACACTTGCCACAACAGGCAGGATCACCCCAGACTGCTAATTCTGGTGTGGCACCAAGCCCACATCCTTCAACCTTGGTATTTCTACAATCATCCTCTTAGAAGCAAAAGTCCTCAATTTTATATTCCATGCTAAATTTCGATTGCTTTGAACTCAGGCTCTTCTGTGAGCTGCTTCTCTGGTCACTCATGATATCACAGCTGTGAAATACAACTGAAATAAAGTGAAAATTAAAATGGATTTATTTGGGTGCTGCCATGTATTCTCTAGTGGGGGTCCATTTAAATGACTTCTCTACTGTCACTCAATTTACAATCTTCTTAGAAGACATTTGCTGTGATATTGGAATTCATGTGCTTTTTTTCTTTGTCATGTTGAAAGCTTAGATATTTTAATTTTTTACTTGAAAGGAAGCTCTAAAACTTGCAGGAGAAGCAGAAAAACTCTGATACCCAAAATGGAGCCTTGACACCCAATGTGTAAAATGGATATGAGTCAAAATCTTCCAAAATAATTTGAAAGTTTTGTTTTTCTTTGAAAATTGCTTTTAGGGTTTTGATGGGCCTCAGAAACTGATAAGCCAAAATATGCTGCTTTGACATGCTGGACTGGAGAAGCAGCCTCAAGTTCTCTCTGATCTTTTCCCCCACTTCTGTCTTTCAATCTTCTCTCTCTCCCAAAGCACAGGATGAGGTTGTTCTCTGAGGTTGCCTTATCTATCCAGAAAAAGGACCTGCCAAAGAAGAACACAACTGCCTTCCCTAATTTTTCCTTCACCTAACTCATATCACAGGAAGAAAGACTGAAGTCTGTCAACACAACTGGACAGACTTTTGTCACACTGCTCTGTGAGCCCAACAGACTTCATCCCAGACCGTTATATGTTCTCCAAGCCCATTGAATTCCCCTAAAGTCATTTACTATCTGCCTTACAAACATCCATTCCTCATCTGTTTTTCCCCTATACCGAAGGAAATATAAGCATCTGTACCCCATTGGGTTATTGCAGGTAATCATTCTCCTGCAACCCTCCCACCGTGTTATGCATGTTAAAATAAATATTGTATGTCTTTTCTCCTATTAATCTGCCTTTTGTCAGTTTATTTTCAGCGAACCTTCAGAGGGTTGAAACCCCTAAAGTGTCAGCCACTTCCCAAGTCCTGTATTACTTGGTGGAGTGGAAGAATGTTAAAACTGTAACTTCTCTGATGACCACTAAAGGGGAAAATCTTGTTTTGTAAAAATAAATATATTTATATTATAGGAAGCCAACATTTAAAAATAAGAATATAGGTGTATAGCAATCTTATATTAACTTAAAAATAAATAATAGAAATTCAAAAGATGAACAATGAAAAGAAAGAATAGCAACATAAGATATATAGTGTTTTTGGCCCACTTAAAAATAAAAGTTTGGAGGAGTAACTACGGTTAAAACACTATCAACCCATAACTCCTCTTGCTACTGAAATACTAGACAATAATAAAATGTACAGCTGAGAGATTCATTTTTATATGTTATTATCAGTTGGACTGAGAATCAATAGCGTATTTCTAAAGGTCCTATTTTTCTTCCTAAAAAGGGAATGCTCCTTAACATAACTGCTTTTTTCAGTTTGCAGCAATGCAATAAACTAGTCAAATATTAACTTCCTTAAAAACACAGGATCATGAAGAGGTAGGGTATCAAGTACTTTAAACTGATTTGATCACAACTATATAGCTAATCTAAATAAAAAACAAAAGGTTTTTACCTCGCAAGACTGGTAAATTTAGACTGTGAGATATACTATGAATTCCAAAGTCAACTCCTCATGCTGGGAGCAGATCGCCCCAAATTCTTTCAAGTGAGAAGTCAGGAACCGTTAGCTCAAGTGCTGCTGTTGATTTGAGTGGCTGTGAGCACACATAAGGATAGAGGTAATTTCCCCCCATAATTAGGTCCCAGATCACTTAGTCCATTAAAGTTTTAAATGATTTAAAAGACACCTTGACCTGCACCTGGAAACAAAGTGCCAACTCAGTACAGAGTGTAGCATAGGAACAAGGAGCAGTCTCAAGCTATCCTGTTTGTATTCATGTTTAATACATTGCCTTCCTTACTCCAGATACTGCTCAGGACAATTTACTTCTGACTAGAGGTCACACATCTTCAGGAAAGTAAAAAATTAGAGAAAAAATGTTATAGTTTATTCTAAGAAAAGGAGACAGATTTTCTTAATCATTCGTACTGACATTTGGGGTGTAAGTGAACATGCTTGGTGTCAGTGTTTCTAATCGTTTATAGAGGTACAGATTTCCTAGAAGCTGAATAAAACTATGGATCCTCTCTCCAGGAAAATGAACATATGAATGTAGAAAAAACTTTTGAATGCAATTTCAGGGAGTTAAGAGAACCTCCTTTGAAGTTCAGGTTAAGAACTCCTGCGTATTATAGATCCTTTGCATTTATAATCCTGCGTATTATAGATCCTTAACATTTTACGGCTAACGGTAAAGAAATTGGTAGATTTACTAATATCCTCACTTCTATTTTTAATCTAATAATTTATTTTATTGTCAACACCAGAAAGATGCGTAAGCAAATCAGTAAACCAAACAAGTATTTATTGAGTACCTACTTCATAAGTTCTGTTTTTCATGCTGGTTGTTACCAATAAAGTGTAAAATACAATCTATTTCTGCCCATAAGGAGCCTACAATCTAGCTATCATTATTCTTGGGAACAAAAAGTGAATATAAGCATAATTTATCACTTGACCAGGTGCAACAAATTTCAATTTGAATTATCAATAGGACTTAATAAAGGCATTTGTTAAATAAACCATTTGGGTGATAATTGATTATTAGTGATCAATGTATATATGCATATTTTCATATTCATATACCCTAAAAGTAATCATTTAGATTTTCACATGATATATAATGTAAATAGCTAATCTGTTGCTGTGTCTGAATTTTAGATTGAGGATATGAAGAAACTGACAAGGTAGAATAGACCATGTTAGCAATGGCAGTTAGGGACTACCTATCCCTGGGGATCCCTGGGCAGAGTGGAATAGGTTATAGAATATGCTAGAGCTTATATTTAACCCATCACAAAACTCACAGGGCAACCCACGTATAGTATTTTGAAATTTCAATGTCTACAAAGACCCAGCAGTCTATTCTTGGATAATTTTTACATAACATTATTACTCACCCAAGAATATCATAATTTTTTATTTCTCAATTTCTTTTCACTTATTAACACAGAATTATTTTCGATTAATATAACTTTTAAAAACACAACTCCTTAACTGAATTCATGACAAAATTGTAAAGAGTAGAAAAGCAATAATCTAAGGAAACAGAGTTTTCAGTTGTTCACGAACTCCCCTAACACTCATAGGG